GCCACTCTGTGCAGCACCCTGTTATCCAGGTGTTAGGGTCCCACCCAAGACGGCCCGGGGGTGTCGGATGGGAAGGCGGGCGGCCGCGCTTCGGGCTCTGGCTGGAGCACCCCGTGGGCACCGCGAAGGTGCTCACCTGGCGGCACCCGGGCTTCCTCCTTTGTTAATGGACGGGGATGCTCCCCTCCCCCAGGAAGGCTGCAGCACTGTCGCCTGTAACACCCGGGGTACAATTATTAGAACTGCACTAGGACGGGGGAGACTCTAAGTGGATTCCGCAACCCGCGCCCCCTCCTGCCCCCAGGCTGTAAGTTCCAGAGAGCAGGGGCCTTCCTGGTGAGCGGCCCCAGGTGAATGAGCGGACAAACAGGTGAGCTGCAGTTTGCTTCCCAGCCAGGATCCCGTCTTCCTGTGCTGTCCTCTTGAGACCCTCTCCTTCCCTCTCTGGTGTCAGCTCAACCAGGAACAATCTGTGCCCTGAAAAATGCCAGGATGTGGCAGACAAGCCAGGTGCCCCTTGCCAGCCAGGTGTGATCTCCCGGGACCTCCACCAGATCAGAGTTCAGAAACCAGATGTACCTGCCGAAGCAGGTTTTCTAGGCCAGTTACTCCCAAGCGTCCTGGCTGCTGGAACGGGCAGGAGGTGGCCCAGGGGACGTATCTACACGAAGCGGGGCCCCCAGGGGCGCTTGGCTGTGAGGTCCGTGTGCCCACTCAGCAGCTGTTCCCCAGGGCCCACCCGGTGCCAAGCGTGGGCACGCTCACGGGACTGTCAGCGTGGCAAAGACCGGAGGCCATCCTCCCTGCCTGCAGCCCTCCCGGGGGGGTAGATGAGCTTCTCCCGAGTGGCTGGGCACCCAGAAAGCTCATCAGGACTCAAGCCCATTTCCCAGGATGCCGTGGGTGTGCCTGGAGAGGAGCGGACACCTCAAGGAGCTCTAGTCCCTGCGGGCCAGGTGACTACAGGGATGTGGTATCCCTCCCTCTGGGCCTCAGTTTCCTCATCTGTCAAATGGAGATAATAAACCTCGTTTGGGATGACTTTTTAAAAAGCCACACATGTTTCAGACATCTTTTAAGCCTTGTCTTCTTTGTTAACTCACGTCTTCGGTGAGGTCGGTGACTACAGAAAACGGAAGCAAAGGGGCAGCCCTGGGAGGATCGGGCATGGCCCCGGACCCCCCCCAGGGCCGGTCAGGGCACAGTTTAGAGACAGGAGCCCGGCACCCAGCCCGTACACAGGGGCCCTCAGGGGACAGTTTTGCCTGCCCCTTCCCACACCACCCTGGGACTGGCTGTGTCTGGGGGCCTCCTGAGAGCAGGGAAGGCTGCGGGATCCCATCTCCAGCACCCAGCCCTGGGCCAGGGCGGTCGGCCAGGAGAAGGGAGAAGGAAGGAAGTTCTGCCCTGTGGTCAGGCCAGGGGTTGACAGCCTGGGAAAGCCAGCGTGCCCTGACCGCTGTACCTGTCTGGGCTGCCCCCACTCGGACCCTGCGAGTTGGCTGAGGCCCGGCACGCGCCCTGGGCACAGGCTGCCTCCCTGCCCACCCCTGATCCCAGCCTGCGGCCGCCCTGTCACTGCCACCGAACAAGCAGGGCCTGCTCTCCCGGCCCTACAATTTGTCTTGCAGCTGCCGCCGTTGCTCGGAGCCAGACACTTGCTTGTAGCTTGTGAGCTGTGTATGGGCAAATCTTTCATTTTTCTTTCATTACGCCGGCGTGTACTGTCACTTAATTTTTATGTATGCAATCCTTCCTGACAAATATGATCTGCTGCCTGGTAATTCGTCTGACGCTCATTCTGTTCCGCGCTCTAATTACGGCTCCTATTCCTGACACCGAGGCAGCCGCTCTGCCACCGCTGGGTACCGCACCTGTCAGCCCGGCCATGGCATGACTAATGCCCTTTCATGCCAGCCTCGTGTTAGCAAATACAGAGGCGGGGAGGGGCCCGGGGGAGGGAGAGGCAGAAGGGGATGCGATTTGCATAAGCCTTGCCAGGGGGTCAGCAGCCTCAGGAGAGGAGGTAGTTGCCAGGGTAACGTGGCTCCCGCCACAGCATCCCCACATAGTAGGTGTGCAGGGACAGCGGATACATAATTCATACCCACGCGCGGGGCGTGAAGGAGCCCTGACCCCCGAGTCCCTTTCTGAGTCACGATGCAACGGCAATTAGTCTGATATCTTGCCGGAGCAAATGTGTGCAGGAGACTTAGCTGTGGCAGACCCGCACTGTGGAGAGCGGGCCTTTCTCCCACGTCGGGGGGGGGACTTCGGGCCCTGGGTTTCAGCTCTGTGCCGTCTTGTGGTGGAGCCCAGCCCTCGGTTCTGAGAGTGGTCCAGGAGGCAGGGCCTCGCCAAGCCCCCTGCGGCCTCTCAGCTCCCTGGCGTCCCCTGGACACGGGCACAAGGCCCCAGGAGGGCTCCTTCCATCCACCACTGGGCCCGGTCGCTGCTCGGAGGCCTCGGGAAGACCCCGGCCTAGCAAGCAGCCTTTTCCCCAGTTCCAATTCCTTCTCATTAATATAATAAGTGCACCAGTCCGAGTCGATAAACTCACACTGTTGGACGAGCCCGTATTTCTGCCCGTTCCTAATGATGTGATCTTAACTGGCTCTGACGAGCGCGCAGTCTCCTCCGTGGAGGGACCGAGAGGAGGGACCTGACTGACAGGGGACAGAGGCAGTGGCTTTAACTCTTCTCTTTGACAGTTGCCCTTGAATGTCTGGCCTTTTGAAGCTCTTAAACCAGAGAGGTAAACAGTCCCAAACTCACCGAAGCACTGATTTTCATAAGGAAGGGTCTGAGGGGGCCAGGGAACAAGGCTTCCTCTCGGCACGGCAGGCTGGGGGGCTCTGGAGGGAGAGCCAGCACGGCTTCCACGGCCCAGCCCTGGTCTTCTGGAGGAAGCGTGGGCTCCGGAGGAGAGGCCCAAGTTCGAGTCCTGGCTCTGCTGCTATGTGACTCAGAAGAATCCCTCAAGCTCCCAGGTTCCAGATTCCTTGTTGGCACAAAGGAAGGGTCCTATGGACCCTCACGGCTATTGAAGGTGTGAGTAAAGTGTCACAAACGCAGGGCACGTCCTTTCAAGCCCTGCCCACACCCCACATTCAGACACACACACACAAACACACACACACACACACACACACACACACACACACACTCGCTCAGGTCGGAGCTGCTGATCTCTTAGTGCACTTCTCCTGATCGTGTGCTTTACCCCGAAAGCCTCTAAAGCCATCGGGACCTGTATGAACAGTGACAGATTCCACCAGGAAAGTGTGTCTCTGGGAGAACACCTTGCTGTCACCAGAAGCTGCTGTCTGTACTCACAGCATGCCGCAGGCACTCGGGGAGAGGGTGGGGGACACATGGGCTGGGGCTGCGGAGAAAAGAGTGGTTCCCAAGGGAGGGGGTCAGCCTTCACAGGGCAGGTAAGCCTCAGGAGCACCTTCCCCGGCAAACGCCACCTCCAAGAACCAGGGACAGGCTTGCTGGGAGCAGGATGCCCCTGCCATATCTGCATCCTTCCCACCCAGCCCTGGTTAAATGCGGATATGCCCTGCTGTAAGGCACAGGGGCCCCCACGTCTGTGTTCCACTGGGGGCCTCCCGGTTTCTCTTTCCTAATCAAATGAAAACTCCTCATCCTCCAACATTCCACGTTTCATACCCAGTCACATACTCGGTGTATGGATTCGGAACTGGCACTGCTTCCCGGAACCCGAAACCCACGCGTGCCCAAGTGTATCCCCAAGTCCAGCCCTCAGGTGCTCTCCAACTCCCGGAACAGTACCGGCCCAGCGAGCCTGGCGCTTAGGCGCCCCCGTCTGCGGCGCCCCCGCGCACCCCGCTCTCCGGCTCACCCGTCCCCTGCTCCCTGCACCACAAGCTCCCCTGCACCCTTCACGGCCCAGCGACAATGTCACCTCCTGCTGGGTGAGACCCTGGTAACCTGGTCCCTGCGGCTTCAAAACTGCCGTGTAAAAGCCAAAACCTGAAAGAGTGCCAGTGTCCCCCACCAGGAGGACTGGACCGAGCGTGGGGCATCCACGGGACGGAACACGACAGGAGAAAGAGAAAGACAGGACCACCGTCCCGGACGGGCTCTGCCGTCCTTTCCTGGAAGGGGCGGCGAGGCAGCGTGAGGACGCAGGGGACCCCCAGCCGAGGCCTCTCAGTTCGCCCCGCTCTGGGTCACTGTGGTGAAGAGGTGAGTAAAGACTGGGGCTCAGGTAGGTATGTTCCTGCGTTAATGGACCAAAGGCCCTGTGGGGTGAAATTCGCATCTCCCCGCAGGGTCGCCCAGGACCGCCAGCTGCTGCTCGGCTGTGTGCACAGGCCTCCTTACCTAGGGAGTGGGCTGCGGTGGTCTCGGAGCTGAAGAAGCGACCCAGGCCGAGGTCACCAAGCTTCACGACGCCCGTGGCCGTGATGAACACGTTGGCAGGCTTGATGTCTACAGAGGAAGAAGGCAGCTGGTGTGGGGGCAGAAGTTGGGGGGGTGGCGGGTAGGGCAGGACCCACAGTGTCGAGCATCTTGCGGGTCCTCGGGGGAATCAGAGAATGGGCACGTGCAAAGCCCTGGGCTGGACTCCCGGACTCCCCGAAGGCCAGGCAAGATGCTCACATGCCCCTGTCCGGGGAGTACAAAGTGGTCCAGCTTCCTCACGGATGTCCCCAGACCATTCTCCCCAGAGCAGGGAACGCTGCCTCCTGGGCCCCAGGGGTACCTGCGGGCTCTGGGGGGGAGTGGCGGTGCCTGGACCCCGCGGGCTCTGGGGGGAGTGGCGGTGCCCGCACCCCGCGGGCTCTGGTGGACGCGTACCTCGGTGCATCACCCGGCGAGAGTGCATGTGTTCCACGGCGCTGCACAGCTGTGCGAAGTACTTCCACACCGTCCTCTCGGGGATGAGCCGCTTCTGCTTCTTAAAGTACTGCAGTGGGGAAGACAGACAGGCCTGGGGGACGAGCCACAAGGGAGGTGGCCACGGGGCAGTGCCCCTGTCCTGTCCCCAGTGGTAGCTGGCACCTGGCACGGGGGCGGGTGGTCAGGCTGCTGAACAAACAATACATCTGGAACAGAGGGTGCTGTGCTCCCGTCTACACTTCAGCCCCAGATGGCCCTCCGTGGCCACCGGTCCACCCCCACCCAGCGCTGACCTCCCTGCGGGTGGAGCAGGTCTGGCCCAGAGTGAAGGTCCTAGAGGAATTTGCAGAATGGATGCCTGGTCTGCATCTTGAAAGCTTCTCTCAATCACACGTTTTCTGGCATTTTCTGGACACATGCCCGTCTCCCACACAGTCTGATGGAGAAGCTCCTTGCTGGAGCAGACAGGCACAGACTCTGTCTGCCCCTCACCTCAGCTTGGCCCAGAATGGGGGTACCCGATGCCTGGTGGTTAAATCCCAGCTGCCCTGTCCCTGGGAACCGGCAAATCTCAGTGCAGCAAGGAAATGGCAGGGCATTCTTGAATGGACCCCCCAATTTCAACAGGCACTAATCTACTTCATTGCCTGAAAAAACATATTTAATGCTCCAGAAAACAGAACGAAACCCAAAATGCCACCCAAGCTGCACTGAGTGAGCCGTAGGTAACCAAAGGTCCCGGAAGGAGCACACGGGGAAGAGGTCCTCACCCATGTCCCTCCGGGGAGTCTCCTGTGAGCCAGGCCTGAGGGGTGGGGTGGGGGGTGGGGCAGTGACTCACACACACTGGTAACCTGAGTACTGGGTTTTTGTTCAGAGGCTTTCGCTTCAGAACAACCACCCTTTCCAAAGCAGCCAGAGGCGAAGCCATAGGCCCATTTGTTCGGGCAGCCGCTTGGGTGCAGGGAAGAAAGACAGTGGCCGCCCCAGGACACGCTCCTGGCCTAGGGAAGGGAGTTTGTGGCGGAAGACAGGACCTGGGCTCACACGGGTAAGCACCCGCCTTGTGCAGCCACTGTGCTGGGCCCTCGGCAGGGGTGACTGCACCCATCTTACACACGAGGAAACCAAGGGCCACACAATAGATGGTAAGGGGCAGTCATGGCTCAACCCCAACCTCCCAGGGCCAAGCTCTTAACCCTAATTAACTCTGAATGACACCAGTAACCACCGGATGAGGGACCGAGCTCAGAGAGGTTCAGGAACTTGCCCAAGGTCACGCAGCTGGAGTGCCAGAGCGGGGACTTGATCTGGGCACCTCCGACAATGGGACGGTCATGGCCGAAAGCCCCTGGCCTGGCAGTAAAGCCCCATGAGGCTCTCCCGAGGCTCCATTCTGGGACAGGGACCTCAAGGGTGAGCTGCCGAGGCTCCCGGCACAGACCGCTGGCACAGGACCCCACTCCCCTCCACGCTACCCCGGGTCTCTGTGGTGGGTTGGGCTGGAACGTTGTTTACGCTGTGATGTTGGTTAATCCTCATTACAGCTTTTAAGCTCGGCTGCGAATGGTGCTTTTCTAAATGTCACGTCCTATAAGCGCCGTGTGACATTTAGCAGGAAGGCGCAGAGTCTCTGGTGGGTTTTGGGGTGGTGGCAACTCTCAGCTTCACTGTCCGTCATAAATAATGTTGGCGCTGTGGCGGTGGTGGCACTGCTTGGCCTGAGGCTGCGGGCCCTTGGGACACAGGGCCTAGGCCAGTAGCCTTCAGGCTAGCCCAATGGGGCGGCCGTGGTGCAGCCCGGCCTGGGGCCCCGGCAAGGTCCCCAGTTCCCCTCAGTACCCAGAGGCAGCCAGAGAGTGGGAAAGGCCACTCGGGGAAACTGAGCTCCTACCAAGTCCCAGGCGTCGTGAAGAGCGTATTACAGATGGGGAAACTGAGGCATAAGGCCCCCTTCCCGCCAAGGGAGGAGGGTCTAGCAGGTGTGTCTGCCTCCAGACCGAGGGTGTCTCTCCTGCCCTGCCTCTCCCGCTTGCTGGGGGCAGCACCCAGCCAGGGCCCTGCAGGGGAAGCGGCTGGCACTGCAGCAGAGGGAACAGGAACAGGCACGGGGGAGGGCCCTGTGACCAAGGGAGAGGAGGTACCGTGTCAGGAGGGGAGGGCTCCTGAGATGGGGCCGGGAGGCCGCCCCCCAGAAACCCGGCGAGTATGTGACCAACATGATCTCTGGGCTGGTGTGGGCCCTGAGGAGGCCAGGGAGAAGGGGAGGGCAGCTGGGGAGGGGGCACCCCACCCCCCAGGCCAGGCACAAGGTGCTGGACACCCACACGCCTCCCTTCTCTTTCACCCGGAAGGAG